AAGACCAACACGTGCGTCTGGCGGGGCTGCTTCCTAAGCCCTGGCTATGCTCTCTCCAACTGAAACTGTGTCTCGGAGCTGGCACTGGCGTCTGCATACCACTGCTGGTAAGCTCTACATTTCCATTACATGGAAGCCGCTCTGAGACTAAATATAATTACCCTTTGGCCTGACAGCCATTTGTTGCTCTACTCTGGCAGAATCAGGGCAACAGTGCTTGCTGCTCACTTCCATTACTGTGTGTGCACTAAAAGTCCCACAGCACAGAGCGGGAAGGAGGTAGTGAGAACAAGTCAGTGAAGCACTGACCAATGACGGGACGCTTGTGCTGATATCAGCTTCATTCCTCCAGGAAAGACATTTATAAAGTGGCTCCCATAAACAACCTCCTACACACTCGGTTCTGTTGAACTATACATCAAGAGTGAAGGAAACGTGCAGTTTTACCATAACATACATGAAAATAATTTAAGAGCAGGAACTGCGGATTTACAGCACTAAAAGAAGGACTTCTACAACCTCTTTCCTTTAAAGTAACAGTAGCTTTGCGTTTCCCATCCATTGCTCTGCCAACTGTGTGAGCAGTTCTTAACACCCTTTGGAACAGATATGTAACATACACTTTATTTCAATTTGTTTTCAATAGGAAGACTTCCTCCTCAGGCAAAGAAAGTCTCTCTTACAGCTTACTAACCTATTTTCAACTCTCTTGAGAGACGAAGAAATTTAAATAATACGGAGAATACAAAATGAAGAACAAAGAATGAAATTGCCAGTAATTTCTTTAAAATTTTTACCACATTTAGGTGTGTGTGTGTGTGTGTGTGTGTGTGTGTGTATGTACACACGATGGCACACATACGGAGGTCAGGACAACCTGCAGGATTGCCTTCCATCATGAGAGGTCTGAGGATTAAACTCAGTTTGTCACACTTGGCAGCAAGTGTTTTCAACCACTGAATCATCTTATTGGCTTGTGACCAGTAATTTCTAAATGACATAAATTTTATGCTCTTATCCTACTTTCTTTCTGTTTCTTAGCCTTTTTTTTTCCCCATGGCCCAAGCTGACAAAGTATAATCATTCATGATAATTTAAGATCAAACACTGACCTGGAAATGTATTTACTTTGCTCAAGTTGGAAAGTCAAATTCCTTTTTCCAAATATCACTCTCTAGTGAACTATAGAAACCAGTTACTCAATAAACTTTGTCTCTACCTTCTGTCCTTTACCATCTTCTCCAAAATTCTATAAGCACCATTAAGTCAGAGAGGGATCAACCCCAACTCACTTTTATTTCTAAGGTACGAGAAACTTCTGACTTCGGAAATGATAGGACATGCATTTTATTAAACATTCCGAGGAAGTCAAAGGACAGGGACGTAAATTTACTTCCCCAACAGTGCACGTCTGGTACGTAGTAAGGCAGGTAGGAACCCCCAGGAAGAGACTTTTCTTTCAGAGCATCAAGAGGACGGGCAGAGGTTGTGAGTGGAGCTGAGCTGGGCTGGTGGCAGTGACACATGGCACAGCTCTGGTATGACTTTTTCGTTCAGTGTAGCTCTTGGGGAGTTTATGAGCTGAGGGGCTGGGAAATGGATATCATGGAGATTTGAGAAATGAAAATAGGAATTCTTGTTTCAGGGAGAAGAACGTGAATTCGTTAGCAAGGACTTCCGGCAGCACTGAATCAGTGTCATAAACTTGAAGTCGGTCAACTAGACTCGACTGGAATTTTCTAGTTCGTGTCAAATCCTGACATCAGCATAGGAAGACAAGCTGGGTTTAACGAGGGTGGGTTTGGGTAGGAGCTATGAAGAAGAAAGGAGGCTAGGGATCCAGGGCCGTTTGCAAGAGTGGGGACGGGAAGGGACCTGGAGTCCAGGTTGGTCAGGAAGAAGACGACGGTCCAGTAGAGGTGACACAGAGTTAGGGAGGGCACAGGGTCAAAGGATGCAGCTCTGTGAGCGAGGGCAGCTGGAGTCAGACACTGAAGGAAGGGACTAATAATGGTCAGAGTGGGGCCTCGGAGGAGGAGGAGGAGGAGGAGGGGGAGGAGGAGGTTTCCAGGACAGTGCTGCTTGTGACAAGATCTGACTAGAGTCACACAGATGGGGGGGGGGGAGGAGATGCCTGAGGCGGCATAAAAGAGATGACCGTGTCAAGAAAGGCTAGAGCCCTGGATGCATCGGCTCTGCACAGCCATGCAGAGAGGAGCGAGGCAGTGCTGCAGTCCCTGGTGGGATGGCAGGTGACTGCAACCAAGGAAAGCCAGAGAGTAACGTCTGCCATCATTCTTGAGAGGAGACGTCTGCTGTTAGTTGTGACGGTGAACGAGGACACCATCCACCTCCCTGCAGGCTCTGAGGTTGGCGAACGGCAAAATAAAATCAAGCTCTAACCTGAGAAACACCTCACAGTAAAAGGGTAAAGGCACTGGTCTGAGAAAAGGCTGCGGTGTAGTATCAACCTTAACATAAGACCGTCAGGAGTTCTTGAATTTTAATCTAACTTTTTCTAAGTTTATGATATCTTAAAAGGAAAAATACTCAGAACTTATTTGCAAAAAAATCTGGAACAGATTAAAAAGGAAATGCTCTTCTAACAATTGTATTTCCCAAATCCAGGAAAGATTTATCTTTAAAAATTAGTTCCCTGGCCAAGATAAACAGGAGTCAAACAGCATCTTATTGTTTCTGGCTTGATATAAATGGACAGCTCACTGCTATAAAACAAAACCAGGCACTGAATTGCATAAGAGCCCAATCTCAGAAGAACAAAATCAAGTCACTTCTGCCTGGGTGATGTTTAGAGAACAGCTTCTCTGAAAATGAACAAACCAAAGTCATAGAGTTCAAGCAAAGAAATCCAAGAAGCTATAAGAACAAATGAGATTTCACAAATATAATCTTAGGAGTATAACATAATGCATTTGTAGTAAATTATCCTCCATCAAGTACTAGTGTGATTATCTCATGAATATCTTTAGAGGTATGCATGTGGTGGCAAGAAGACAATTTTGATAAGTAGGTTCTCCCTCCGCTCTGTGGGTTGTAGGGAGTAAACTTGAATTACCAGGTTTAGCAGCAAGCACCTTTACCCAGTGAGCCATCTTGCTGGCCCATATGTTCTGAATGTCTTCGTGAGACTAAGGACGTATCCTAACATTTTGCACTGTAATAAGGACATCATTTCTACTTTATACCCAGAGGCTGTCTCTAAGCATTTCAACCAGGCTATCTATATGCAGCTCTGAGATTCTATAGACCTTTATGATCTTATATATGTAATAAAAATGTCTGATTTTTACTATCATTTTACTAGGCTCTATCCCAAACTCAGTCTTTTATTTTACAGTGGTATTTGATAATTTGATTATGGCTCTCAGTCAGAATGTAGTCTGGTTCACTTGCAGGCTAGGTCAAAGGGCTTTTCGATTCCATCTTCCTCGTATACTCTGAGGTTCTGGTCACTAGTTAGAAATTCTATTATGTGTTTTGCTAGATAAACTCTAGTTCAATGAACTGAATATTCCCATATTACTTATGGGAATTTCTCTGGAGTATAGTGATTTCTGTGCCTTAGTTCTCCCTCTAGACCAGAGGTTCTCAACCTATGGGTCATGACCCTTTGGAGGGCTGAATAACCTTTTCACAGGGGTTGCCTAAGACCATCTGCATATCAGATATTTACATTATGATTTATAACTGTAGCAAAATTACAGTTATGAAGTAACAACAAAAATAATCTTATGAGGGAGAGTATTCAGGGGTCACAGCATCAGGAGGTTGAGTGCTACTGCCCTAGACTATAAGCAGAATCACTGGGCCTCCTCATCTTTGGATAGTCCCTGAATATCAGTATTATTTTCAGTCTGTTTAACACCCAGTACTAGTAGGTAGAACAAGTACAACTGTGACCTTGTTCATATCAAATTCATTAAGATTACACATAAACAGGCTTCAGTGGCTTGTCTAAAATCTTATCCATATTAAGCTAAAACATGAAAGTACTTTAAGTTCCAAATCTATAATTGATAAGGTCACCATCAGCATACATACATCAAGGATTTTATATATTGTATATATGACTAGAGAGAGTCTCTAAAGCAAGTATGTAGAGTAGTATGCTAGCTTTCCGAAATTTGCAAATGTAAATACAAAGTATAGTATTTTGGGGGGCTGGAGAGATGGCTCAGAAGTTAAAGAGCATGTACTGCTTCTGCAGAGGACCTGAATTTGGTTCCTAGCACCCATGTCAGGTAGCTCACTACTGTTAGGTCTGAAGTGGGTTCCCAAAATGGCAGTGCTAATGACAATGTCCTAAACAGAAGGATTCTGACCCAGTAAACAGAAGGGTTGTTCCTGGGTAAGCAGATACCTAAACTCATCATTCCTTAGGAATCTCATAAGGCAGATTTCTATTTACCAGGAAAGTCACTGCTTCCCTTGTCTACCCCGGTGGTCAACTACCACAGACACGGGTATCTAGTCCCCAAACAGCCTGCCACAGATCAAAGCCCCCATGCCAAATCCCAGACCATCCTGGGCTGCACCTCTCTTCCCAAGGCTACCTGTCCCCTGACAGGGGTTTTCCCACCACCTGCTCTTTTCTGCCCTTTGAGAGACAGCCAGCAGTTTGGTTCCCCAAAGTTTTCTTTCTACCCTCGGGGTAGTCTAGTTCGGTTTCACTGTGCCCTTGCTTTCCATTACCTCCTTTAACTTCAGGTCCAGGGAGTTTGTGGGCACCTGCACAGACCTCCCCTAATACACATAATTTTAAAAAAATAATAAAAATAAAACTTAAGAAATATAGTGGTTTAAAAATAAGAGTAATGAAATTAAAATTAATATTACATAAAAAGAACGGTGGGAAAACATTCCGAAATAATTTATGTATAAATTTGTCTTAGTGACTATCTTGAATGTCCTTTCATTAACTCAGAGAACACTGGTCAAGCAAAGGACTCTCATGTTGACAAATCAAAATTTCAACTTACCATTTATGTTTATTGCTGGTAATACAATTGACATTTTTGGTCTTGTGGTCTTGTTATGGGTGGTAGCTGGTAATAGCAAGTGATCCTAAAATTAAAAAAGAACAGCCTTTTATATATAACTGGCTTAGTCCAGGAACATTGCAAATTTATAATTTTAGGAAGCCAACATTTCACTTGGGTAATGAAAAATTGTTTTTTATAAGAACCTGGCTTAGAAATAATCAATTGCACATGATCTTAATGCAATACACATTTACTGGGGACGGGGGTTATCTTTACCAGACACACTGTGGCAGTTTTTAAATACTCCTGGATTCTGATAACAATGTATGATTAGGACCCCATAAAGAGTATTGGTCAGGTTGTCAAGACAACAGGTCTTAACTCGAGTTGTGCCACTAAACAGCCGGATGATCTGGACAAGCCGACATTCTCTGTCCAGGTTTTAGTTTCTAGCCCTACAGAATGACAGGGGCTGGAGGAGGTAATGTTATACATCCTAACTAAACAGCCATTTGCTCTTTTTCTTTTTTTCCAACATAATATTTTTATTGATTATTTGGGAATTCTACACAATACACCCCGATCATTCTTGCTTCTCATTCTTCCCAGGTCCACCCTCACCCTTGTGCCAAAAGAAGAAGAGAAGTGGGGGGAGGGGGAGGAATCCAATTTGTGTTGTTCATATATTCATTGGAGCATGGTCAAACTCCCATGGCCAGCCCATTAAAGATAACTGAGTCTTCCCCTTCACAATCCCCACCCCCTGCCAGAAGCTAGCAATCGTGAAGAGTTTCACTTCAGCAACCCTATCACAATTTTTAAGGGCTCTCTTCAACAACTTCTTGTCATTTAAACAGCCATTTTCAAAACATTTGTGAAGGAGAGAAACTTTTTGTCCTCCAAAATCCTCCTAAATTATCAATATTTAAAAGGCTAAAGCAGGTCCAGGGCCTAGGGCCCTGCTTGCTTTGTGTCTTCCTTTGAGGTAAAATGTCATAGTGTTAGATATTTATCTGTGACAAGAACACACTAAAATGTGTGTGGGCTAGCGAAGCGGCTCAGGCTGTCACACGTTCGACACCTGAGTGCACAAGTATGGGGGATGTGCTGTAATCCCAGCACCAGGAAAGTAGAGACAGAAGGTGGCCTGGACTCAAAGGCTCACCACCCTGACCTAACTGGCCAGTGAAAGACCTTGTCCTAAGGAACAATACCAGAGACCACCAGCCTCCGACCTTTGCACACATGCACACAGCCACATACACACTGCACATCCACACACCCACAGGAAGCACACAGTTAAAGAACTCTGTCTACCACAATTACACAGCTCTAAAACTGACAGCAAACATTTGATGACCTGTAAGTGGTTCAGAGTATCTGGGGTGCCAGGTCTCTAGTCACACAACCACGCACAGTAAGAATAAGCCAAGGGGAGGCTGGCTGCACAACAGTGGGAAGGCTGAGTGTTTGGAAAATGTAGTTCTGTCTGCAGATATTCTAAAGCAGGTCATAAATAATATGACTTTGATACTACCTAGTATTACTAACAACTCTTTCCTAGGAAACACATGAAATTACCACAGGGGTAAAAGCTCTGAGAGCATTTCTACTTCCGGGAGCATGCTAGACTAGGCTAAGAAGAACCTAAGCTAAACCTACTTGGCGCTGCTTTCTATTGTTCCTAATGCTCCTGTTGAGCATTCACTCAACAAACTTAATGACGATTTCATATGGCCAAGAGCAATAAATGAAGTTATCAGCAAAGCAAAGGGAAAACCTAGACTGTGAAAGGCCAGTTAAAATAGACCTGCATGAGCAGAGCTGTGTGGAGACTCTTGTGGTAACTGCTATGCTTCATGGCATTCCAAGCCACAGCCCCATGAGCACGCACTTTCTAAGAGTGGCGAGAAGAGTGAGGGACAGATAGAATCCCAGCACTGGAGCAAGGACGGCTGTTTTTTCTTTCTCTGTTTTGTTTTGTTAAGTGCATTGTTAGACACAGAGATCACACATTTCTGAGAGCATGATAATAAATTATAACCTAGAAGAAACCCAATTTGCTCATCTTCCTGTTATGAAAATTATAAATAGCTTAATTCCTATAATTAAAATATTGTTTCATGGTCTAAATTGAATAAGAAAACAACCCTCAAATTGCAAGGCCCCAATTAAGGTTACCATAAAAACAAACACACTTAGACTGCATTGGTGAAGGGTTAAAGCCAGGTTCAGACTTAATTATGAGTTTCTTGGAAAGATCTAGATGTTTCTAAACATGATTTTTTTTTCAATGTAATGCCTCCTACATTTTATAGGAGGAAGTAAAAATTATGCTATTGTTTATGAAAAAGAAGACTCACACAGCATATTTATACACATTATTAAAGTTAACCTGTCTTGTCTCTCATATTAAAGGTATGCAGACTGTGGGGTAGCCATTCTTTGTTTGAAGGTCTCATCATGTAGCTAAAGTTGGCCTAGAACTTGCTATGCAGTGTAGCTGCTCTGACCCCTCCTGCCTCCGCCTCCTGCCTCCGCCTCCTGCCTCCGCCTCCTGTGTGCTGGGATTACAGGTGGGGACCTGGGCTTTTTGGTTTTTCCCAGTGCTAGGGACAGAACCTAGGGCATCACACATGATATAGCCTATAATTTAAAGGGCTTGTTTTACTGATCAAAATTGAAGGCAACCAAAGCTAGCATATTACTGATTCTAAGAGTATTTTATATAAAATTTATTACACACACACACACACAATTAGAATAGTACAGTTGCTTTGTTAAACAGGTACCTTTACTTTCTTAAAAAAAAAAAAAATGGTCCTTAAACCAATAATGAACTTTGAGCGATTTTCCTGTGTTCATCTCACTCTACTTTAGCCCATAAATCCTATTAGTTATTAGTTAAGTAGAAACTAGGAACTCTAGTTTGTCAAGTATTTACTGACTTCTACCACTCATTACAGAAAACATTTACTGAGCACACTCACACCACTGTGCTACAGAGTGTTTTAAAGAACAGAAATCCAGGTTTTTATTTTCTTGCGGGAAACATTGCACTAAGAGAGAAACTGTGATTTGTTTCCAATATATGCTCTCCTGCTACTATAATTTTGGACTAGAAATAGAACCTGTGATACTTAATTGGGCAGAAAGCAGACCATATGCCTCAGACTCCTTTGCAGCCAGGCGAAGCAACTTAGTCTACTTAAAAGAACTTCTTTGAGATGGTAATGATGGAAGGCCACCCATGGTCTCCCTCCTGCCACCTAGAAAGCAGAAATGGCAGCTACAGCTGAAGTAGCCACACTGGGCTATGAGATGGAGGCTGCGACCAGAGGATTATAGAGTAATAAAACAGGAGATAGGGAGCCTGGTGACCAAGGAGTCATAATAAGATATTTAAAAGTTATAGATGGGACAGAGATAAAATTTGGATTTTCCTAAGTCACCACTGCATTGGATTTTTCTGTCAAAGTCTAAAGCTAGGTCTAATAACTAGTTATAGTATCTGTTTGTGAATCAGTACTAAAGATACTTGGTCAACAGAAATTCAATAAAGGTTAACACAATCAGGGATAGCGTTATTAACTTTGTTTTGAAACAGGGTATCACTAAGTAGCTCCAGAAGGCCTGGAACTTACTATGTAGACCAGAAAGACCTTGAACTCACAGAGCCTCACCTACCTCTGTTTCCCAAATGCTAAGGTGTGCACCACTACCTCTAACTCTTCAGTAATTTTTAACAGCACAGAAAAGCTACACTGATTAGTTAGACTTCTTGATAGTGAGCCCCCTCCCCTTATCTAAATCTGTATTAATGAACTAGTAGAGGAAATTCAGTCCTGGAAAAGTAGAGGTGGAACTTGATGAATCTGAACACAATGGTTTCCTTCCAATTACATCAGTTAAAATAACCTAAGTGCAACAAAAGTTAAACTATTTAGAGTAAAAAAGGAAATGCAAAAAGGTATTGTTCTACAAATAAATATATCTCAACACTGTCATTCAAAACCTTTTTGCTTATTTTAAGACATTTTCAAATGGGCTCCTGAAAATCCTGTACAGGGCTGATGAACTATAGGGTATATATCTTCATGGATACAACCATGTAGACAAAACTTACAGCCAATGCTTTCTTATTCATACCCCATAAGTTGTTAGAAAAGCATTAAAGCACTGCACTGTGAGAAAAAAAACATCAGTTTTCCAATATTGTGCATAACACAAGATCCAAGATGCCAGTTCTACACAATCCTCCAGCTCCCTTCCCCACACCCCTTGTTAGAGACAGTCAGGGTGAGGGCATGGCACAGCGTTAAACAGCATTTCATCTTTTTAAGGAAGCAAAAGCACCAGAGACAGATTGAGCAAAAGTATAAGGCATGTTGCTTAGCTGGAATTTACGATGATAACTCACAATAAAATGAAGGACCGGCTGAGAGTTAACAAATGCTGGTTCTACAGATCCACAGAGTCCAAACTGACTTACTAAACCAATTGCTAACTAATTTATTCTAATTGTTGATTTGATAGTGTGATTGTGTTTTCAAATTATATAAACTGATAAACTAAGTAAAACTAGAGATGACACAGCTTGATCAAAGTAAATAGGTTAACTCTATTTTTCTCATTGCAAAATTATTAAAGACACAGAAAACAGTAAGTTTCCACCATATTATACAACAATCTGTAAACTTCTATTATAATTGAAAGTAATTATAAATGATAATTGGAAATCATGGCAGATGGGTTGTGAGTATGGTTTATGGAAGAAAGAAAATACAGGGTTCTGAACAGCAGATTTAGACTTAAAAACAAAGCACTGCCCTTACATCAAAAGCTGGCAAGTGAAATGCTTATTTATATAATTGAATGAAATATCCATTTTTAAAAATCCGCATTTTTGCAAGTTCATGTCATACTGATGAGACAGCTTTTCATATACGAGGAAACTCTGGCTCAGCGTGGGAGCCTCTGTGTGCAAGTATGACACCAGGCAGCTCTCACTGGATCGGGATGGCCCACCGTGAGTCAAAAAGTTCTGTGTATCAGGCCAACACTAACAACAATGGACTCTTA